AATCGAAATTCAAGAATCTATTATAATTAAAAAGAATCTATATCTCTATAAATGATTCTTAATTCAATCAAAATAGATAAGAAATAGTTAAAAGAATCTTCTCTCAAAATATCTTTAATTTATTTATATGAGATTTTTCAAATAAAATCGAAATCTTATAATAATATTTTTTCAAAATATATAATTTCATAATATCATTATATATTATAATTAGAAAATCTCAATAATATTATACCTCGCTTCCCAATTAATAGAAAAAAAATATTAAATAAAATATTCGATACTAAATATTAATAAATGATTTAAAATATTAGACAATTGCTTTCTATCTTAATCTGAAAGTATTCCTAAATCTTAAAATTTACTATTAATTATATGAATATTCTTGAGATTTTTAGGTTTATTAAAATATATGAAATAAATATGAATCTCAAGATTATGAAGTAGAATCTTATTAAATTTAAATTTAAATCAATGATTCCTCATCTATATATAAATGGATTTGGTCTTGTTTCCGCCGGTTTTGGGTCCTTTATCTATTTATTTTCTTGTCTTGAATTTATTTTCATCTGTTTGGGTCCTTTTCCGACCTATTTCATGAGGTTCGAGTCACTTTTCCATCTATTTATTATTTCGGGCTTTTTTTTTCCTATGATTTGCTGATTTGTCCGCCTGATTATCGCTTTGGATCTTTTATATTTTAGGTCGTGGTTAAATTTATAAAAATAAATATTTGGGTTGAATTTTGGATTATGGCTCGGATCTTCAAAAATAACGATTACTAATGAATTGGAATTTAGAGATCCGCCTAGCAACAGGCGATAAAGAATCTCAGGACAAGCATCAGAGTCGACGGACAAAAGACCGAGCATATTCCAGACCCTACCCTTTACGTGGTGGCTTTATTCGCCAGTCATATAATAATCGCCTAGATTTTTGCCCAGGTTTAGGGAATAGAGTTCCAGCCTATTTACCTCCTCGACTTAATAAGATTTATTAGCCCAAGAAAGCCTTTACCAATAGTATCCCGTAATTTTTTGTTCCCACCCCTAGCGGGCCTTTCTTTTCACCAATCATATCTATCTAGGACATTAAATAAAAATCTACTCCGAGCAGTAGAATAACGAGTTACTAAATAAAAAAATCTTATCAATCGATAAAAAAATCCGATTCCTCTATCAGATGCCCGTAATCCCTTCCCAATCTTTTGGAAGCGTCCCCGCCTTATAACACCAAAAGAATCTAGAATAAATCGCCCAATTTTTTTCCTTCCACCTCCATATACCCGAATATATCAGTACTCCTAATAATTGTTTACTGCTTACCTCTACCTTTTTCCACTCCCTATAGGCCTAAAAATATATTTTATAGGTGGGTTAAAAAAATCAACCTTATAAAAATCTACTATATAAGTATGGCATCCCATTGTAATTGCCCGTGGCAGTCCCTCGACGCGCCCTCAGCCGCATTCCACGACACTCCCCACGTACGCCCTCGCCCACACTCCCCACGACACACCGGCCCTCGCCCAACACTCTGCTCGACCCGCCCTCGCCTGCCGCTCCCACGACTCCCCACGACATACACAACAACACCCGCCACTCAGCGACACTCCCCTGGATCCGCCCTTGTTCGCCACCCCACGACACTCCCAACGACCCACGCACAGTCACCTTCTAGAACTGCTGGAAGCCAAAAGACTTGCAGAGCACAGGAGATTCATGCGCAGGCATCCGAAGAATGTGTCACAATGCACTATTATGTACTGGAACACGCTAGGGTGCACGACGAGCACTACATACTATATGGGTGCAAAGTACGACAGTGCCGCCTTACTCACCACAGTATTACAATAATGTTGACTTGAGACCTGCGTAGCTTGTTCGGCACTAGGGCAGAAAGTCGCTTGCACGCTGCTGCACTGGAAATGCTACAGTGCGACATTTAGGGTATGCGTGGCATATACAAAGTGTCGAACCATTTTTCACTATCGCATTATAACCATGATAACTTGAGACCTACGTAGCTTGAGCAGTTTCAGCAAAACGTCGATAATATCCAATGCTTTCTCGAGGCGGCATAGGTGAAGCCAATGCCAAAATACAAAATTCAGAAAAAATCCTGTGGTACGAAACACCGAAATTCCCGAAAATTTGGTGCGGTCCCAAACCCTACTTTTCCCTGGATTGCCAGAGTGTCGTACAGCACGAGACGCCGAAATCCACGCAATTTTTGAGAGTTTCGTACAATGCAGCGTCTCTGGTACGAAACCCTCCAAATGCCAGAAATTTCTTCTGTATTTCGTGCTAAGGATTCGCTGTTATTCAAATTAAACGGCAGACCTCTCCAGGCTTGCCGAAAATCCCGGGATTCTCGTGGCTTCGTACCGGCAGCCGTCCTGCGCGAATCCCAAAACGAAGGAAGCGCGCAGCGTCTTATAGAGTGTATATAAATACAGATATTATCCATGTCTACCCAACCTGTATGCCATCTGCAACAATGGCCTAGTCCATAAAAAAGATATCTGATTGACTATATATATATATATATAAGAGCAACATACATATAAGAGCAACATACATACAAGAGCAAGTTTTGAGGGGATACCAAATCAAAAATATCTCTCGCTCATTCGTTCTCTCGCTCTCCTCTCGAATTTGCGATGCCCTCGCCTCAGAATTCATCAGACAATCTCCTAGACCGTCGTCTTGGTTGAAGCTCTGATCCAGTGGAAAGGAATAGAACAACAAATACTCCGATGATGAAGAGACAGATGAAGCAGCCGAAGATGCAAAGGCCAATTAAGGCTCCGCCTGGGGCCGGCCTGGATTTTTGGGAGGAGCCGTGTGACTTAGGCTTGTGTGTCTGTATCCAAACCGGTCCAGGACCGGTGAAGGTACACAACAGGCCCTCGCCGCTTGCCAAGCTGCTGAAGACCGAAGCTGATGCCATTCCAATACTGTAGCTAACTGAGTCCCCCCATGCTACAAGGTGTCCATTGTCCACCTGTCGGCATTCACCAGGTTGTAGATCGTATCGAACACAAGAGCCGAAGCAGCTGATGGACAACTTCCCACGACCACTGCAGCGCATGAGAAAGAAGCCGCTTCCACTAAACAGTCCTTGTGATGCACCTTGCACTCGCGTGTTCACGTCAACCCCAGTTTCTGCGCAGAGGAAAGCACCGCTGGTCACCAAGACTGCTGATATGTTCGGACCGGGTAGTTGAACGATCGCGATGTCGCCCTGATCTTCCGGTGCTACCAGCACTTCACCAGAGCCGCCTTTGCATTGCAAGGTCTGCAGGAAGAAAGACTCGTTTGTCAGCAAGCTTCGGGCCGCACCACCCAGAAGCCCGCCCAGTCCTCCGCCGCCTAAGCTAGCACGGACCTCCACGTTCTCTGTCTTTGACACCAAAGCATCGCTCTCTGCCTTCACGGCAGCCGTTCCTTGGAGCCTCACTCGCAGGGCAGAAGCACTCGCACCTCGAAGGACTTCGAACTCAGCCATGCGGACTTCGGACCCGAGCTGCTCCTTTCACCTACGCTGAGTTTCAACCTTCTAACAACACTTACGACTCTCGGAGGCGGATCGATAGAAGTGGATAGTGGGCGATTTCGTGGAGGCACTCCCACGCAAAGCTGAGCATCTGTTTTGAGGTTGCAAAGCCATAAGTCAACGAAGCCTCGACCTTCAGTTTGACACAGCCTGGAAAGCTGAATCGGCCACTCACGAATTTTTACCCCGCGTTGGGTACCTGTCCACGTGGGATTTAAAAGTCGTGTGAGACTCTGACAAGACTCAGCAGTGAGTTCAGGAAAAACAACGAGCTGTTTAGGTGGCTATTACATTCTGTTAACTCACAACGGACGTCGTGTCTTGGGCTCGCAAGCAGCACCGGACCGCCCTCAAGGCGTCCCTGGGCTCGAGCGGCCAGTAAGCGGCCACTCGAGCCGCTGCCCTCCCATCTCCACGCAGCAGCGAGCTGCATAAACCCTGAACCCTAGTAGCGGGAGATCCTGACCCCGTGCAGCGGCAGCGTAGGTGGAGATGGCTACGCACGCCCGAAACCCAAAGCCTTGCACGCCCACCCCTAGGAATCCTGAAAGGCTCCTGTCAAGAATTTTGCTCGCACCTAAATTCTCAGGCACGGCTTGCCTAGGCAGAAACTGGTGTTCTTATTTGGCATCGCAGGTGGGGTATAGCTTCAGAGCAGGTGCGGATGTGTTCCAGCCTGTTAGAGAATGCTCTGGTGACGGTTCTTGCTCCAAACAAAGGACCTCTATCCAGAAGCTTTCGAGAACATGCTTGGACATGTCAAGACGACACTACCCTCGGAATTCCAGAAGGAACACTATACCCGGCTCCAAGCTAGGTGCTCCGAGACACCTCCGGACACCTTTCCTCCTTGACACGTTAGCCTGCATCCAAAATCTCGTGCCTGGATCTGACGTCCAATCCTTCCATGGTCACAGGCCTGTAAACACACAAACCTAAGGCACCACTTGCTTCCAGGATACACTTACACAGATTCACGCAGAGGTCGCAGAGCAGCCTCAGCCTGAGCCACTTCGGGGAAACGGGGTCCCTTCGCTTCGAGTCTCGTTACGAGACGGTGCTCCAGGGTCTGGGGGAATCCAAATGCGAGTCAAGCAGCCACGCACGGCGTCTCCAGGTCACCTGATGCAGACAGAACCGGACAAATTCTCAGGTCAGCCTTGACAGTCTGACTTAGCTGACACTCTCCTACACGGGTACCCTACCTTCCAATTGAAATCTGTGTTTTGCGGACAGCGACTCAGGTTCCTGCTGCATGTCTTCCGTCCTCGTCCCCGTCAGACTCACCCACATGGTCTGTGTCCTTGGCATGGTTGAATGCGTTCAACCGATTGCAACACTGCATTGCGAGATCTGCAGCGATAGACGCTCGGCTTCACGCGTAGATTATGATCTGCTCCACATTGGCAAGTCCTCGTCCCAGTGATTGCCACACTTGCGAAAGCCACCCTCCCAGTCCCAGTCCCAGTCGTGCCACGTGGCCGGCCTTGCTGGAAAGAGTTGACAATGTTGTAGTGATCCAACTGTGCGGAGGGCACCGCGGAAACGCAGCGCAAAGCGTTCCAGTGATAACGTCAAAGCGAGCATGGACCGATACTTAATCAGCTGCATGAGTCAAGCTTCGATGCAGCTAGTCAGACAAACTTGGACCATGAACGGCATTGCCTGTCCAGAATGCAAATCGAGGACTTCATAGCGGAATGGATATGCAATACAGACCTATCTATCTACGTACCTACCTAGCCACCTACCTACATACATAGATACATACACGCATACACACCTGTGAGGCCGTTTGGAGACATATATCTTAACCAAGGTAGGTATCAAAACATGTCTGCACGACACATCCAGGCCGGCGCGTGTATATATATATATATACATACATGAGACTAGATGTGTTTTCGTTCATTAGTGTGCACACATGCATGTACACACATACATTTGCACGTACGCATGCACGAATGAAAGGATGTATGTATGTATTACTGCATGTATGTACGTACGCATGTAGGTATGTACATATGTACGTATGTTTGACTATGTATGTATGCTCTATGATTTACGCAAAGACATATAGGAGACACATACATGTGCCCCATGCTTCCTCACCAGTGGTGTCCTGAGGTACAGCCTTGTAGGATTTTCACAATGTGCGGCTCGAAGGCTTTGCCATGCCGGTGTCTCTCAGAATCTGTTCCTCCATTGGAAGCGTGAAACCCAAACCCGATGTACTTTGCGTTTGCGGGCGGTTGTCGACGAACCCTAAACTCTGAAGCACTGATGCCTGCCTTCGAAGGCGTCGCCCGCTGGTCGGAGACGATGTCAGTTGCATTGGCCCTTCCGAAAAGCTGCACTTCAAGGTTGCAGAGCTCGTGAGCTCCACTATAACGGGCGGCGTCACGAGTCTGAATACTGCATAAGCTGTGGTTCAAGCACTTCTGCTGGCTGTGCTTCAAGAGCATGGGATATGGGATGCGCGACGACTGTCGGCAACGGGGGGCAAATTCTACATGATACATTACATGTTGGTCGTCATGCTTGGACATTGGATGATTTTGAGGACATTTCGGATGACCTGTGCCGCCCGTTAATCAGTAGCATCGAAGGCTGTCCGGGGACACAGCAAGGTGGCAAATAACTGTGAGATGTACTGCCTTGTCTACTGTTGGTCGCATGCACCTGCACCGTGTATGCCCAGGTTTGCGGTTGAGACATGAGGGGCTCTGACTGCCTTTCAAAGGTACCTGTGAAGGGTACAACGAACACGATAACAGACAGCACAGCAATGCCTGGCCTGGCTGTATCCTCCAGAGGTTCCGTCTGAGGCGATCCTGGCATGACTATGTCTCGCACCTGCAACCTTCCGATTTTCAGCCGGCAACGTCAACTGGGCAACTTGCAGCTGATGTGTGCCCTTGCGCGACCCTGAACATTGTCCTGGGCTGGGAGTCCGTCGCGTTCTGCTCTGAGGCTCACCTGACAGAGTTAGGACTCGGCCTCGGCTACGTTCTCGACCGCAAATCGCGGAAAGCTCTGGAGCTCTAAGCGGTTGAGATGGGGAATTCGTTGCGACTGAGATGCCATCCGCTACGGGGGACGTCGGCGCAGAAGGCCTGCACAGGCCGTTGCACCCACTCAAGTCTGCTTGAGGCCACGATGACGGACTCTGCACCTCGGGTTCGAGAGATCCTGGCAGGCACAAGAGGAATTACATGAGGCATGTGCAGTGCAATGTGCAGCATGGCTGGTCGTAGTGTGCTGCATGCGCCTTCCAGGAGAGCCGACGCTGGAATGCAAAGTCCTCGCCTTTGTCGTGGACATCTTTGGGCTCACTGCGCTCCTCTCTGCAAGCAGGCCTGAAGAGCGCTTTCGTAGGCCTTGCATGCGAGATCCCTGCTCTCTGCGGCATGGTGCTGCCCCAGGTGCTGAGATCGGAGCTCGGTCGCTTCACGACCTCTCGCAAAGATCAGATGAGCCTCCTATGTAACGCTTACAAAGGCTGCTCGTTATACCTGCTTTGCCTGTTCGCAGGACATCCTGGAAGAGGATTCCTATGGAGTTTGCGCTAGTTTTCATCGTTCGAGCTCTCACTCGTCTTTCCACAAGCGCTTGGGTTGGATTTCCTAAAGGGCGGCACCAATTGTTCGATGAGACAGTGGTGGATCAAGAAGCTGTGTAAGAGGCATCAGGCAGTCGTGAAACATCCACCAAGCATGACCTAGCGAACTGCTCGTTGACGCCTCATGGTTTCATAAGACCGGCTACGGCAATGGATGAGATTACATGCCAGATGCTCTTCGTTTCGATGTCCGTATGAACAGCGGATCCCAAACCCCGAACTACTGTCATTGCTACTCTCCCATACACCCGTACAGCAAAACTACCAGCGGCAACTAGCAGCACCACGTGCAGCGGTACACACACACACACGAACAGACGCGCTCTTCTTTGACTCCTACTCTTCTCCGAGCATGCTGAATTTCTGGCGAAATGCAGGCTTTCTCGCAACGCCGCCACGCCTCTGAGACCATCTGGTTGCATGATGCTGTGTCCGCTGGCTCAAAGGACCTGGCTCCAGCACTCTCTGACTACACCTGCTCTCTGAGGTGCTATACGGCCATATACATTCATACATTCATCTCTCTGAGGCGCGCACATTGTCATAGCCTCCGGTCGGCCTGGAAGTCTGGAAGTCTCGACAGCTATGGAAGCCTAAGGTCTCAGCCCGAGCCCGCCTCCCTGGCATGAAAATCGGAGACGTGCGGCGGGTTGTAATACGACAAATCTTCTAAACTCTCAACATCTGATACGACGCCTGTTAAGCTCATCATGAGGGCAGCCATTCGTCTTTGGCACAAATGTGCACTCACTGAGATGATGCTGGCCTGCTTCCCAACCAAGTTAAACGGCTTGAGCCGACGCCCAGGCGGTCAACGTGAGCGAAGGAGAGGCTGTCAAGCGCAGTCAAAACATCGCATTGAGAAGTGCATTGTTTTCTGGGTACTCCCACGGCGTTAACGAAATAGGAATCTGAGCCGTGACCTGGGCCCACAGAACCCCAACCCACTACTAACCCCCTGCGAGTTTAGGCCATTGCTCATCCAGCAGATGCTGCTTTGCAGATCGCTGTAAAAATAGAACAGAGACGATGTGCAGGATGTGGCTGCTAGACAGCCTCCCGAATTTTCCAAGAAGGGCATCCCTAAAAGGCCCAATTGGGTGCGACCTGGGACTGTGGGGTGGGGCCACTGGGGCCTTTCCCACGCGCTCCTAATGGTGGCCCTGGACCACGTGGTGGCCTGCCAGTCGGGCCGGGCCCCAAAGCCGGACCGGGCCCTAAACCCGCCGGAGGTCCCGCAGGGCCGGAGAAGCCCGGGAAGCCCGCAGGAGCCGCCGCTTGTGGACTCGACCCTTCTGTTCCGGAACTCCTCACTAAGCACATCAGGAAAAAGCACGGACTGCAACAATCGCATGCCATGGCCTTGGCGACATGGCCGGAGACTGCGATGAACGGGAAGGTGCCTGACCTCGCAGATCAAGGTAAAAACATAAACAAACATACATACATACATACGTACCTACATACATACATACATACATACATACATACATACATACATACATACATACATGTATATATATATACATGAATACATATCGACATACATACGTTTATGTATTTTATGAATTTTGTTTTAGATAACCCCCCACTACCCCGGGCCCTAAAATTATTCTCAACGTCCCGCAGGTCTTGGAACAAGACCGCCCCATTATTGCGAGGATTCCGCGACGGTGCGCTCGCTGCATCTGTTTTAATTTCGGTCTGTTGGTCGAGAGCTTCGGAGCTTGAAGCTGTTGGGGTGTTGCTTTGGGCATTTGCGGTTCGAGCGTTCTAACCGTTAGGCTTCAGAGCTTTGAGCCCGGCTGTGTTGGATTTCTTGCTGACTGCATCTGCGTTTGGCGTGATTGTGTCTGTCGGTCGGTAGGAGTTTGAAGCTTCTTGGGGTGCTTTTGAACTTGGTTCTGTGCGTGCGGGACCGAACTCGCGAGACGAGCCACCGCTCTTGTTGAACCCGGAAACCCTAAGCCCCTATAGCCTAAAACCAGAAACCTCAGCAACCCTAAACCCCCAAGCCCAAAACCCCAAACTCAGAAACTCTAAAGCCTTTAACTTTAACCAAGAAGAAACCTTAAATCCTGAAACCCTAAACCCAGAAACCCTGAACCCCACAGCCCGAAACCCAGAAAGTTTGAACCCAGAAACCCCAGACCCAAAAACCCCAAACCGTTACCCCGCTCACTAGTACATAATGTTCGAAAGCCTTTAATGGTTGCGCGAGGTTTCCAAGTCTCGCAATCTGTCAGAGCAAGGCCAAGTTCGGACCCGGGTTGCCACTGGGCAGAACCGGATTGCCAGATGCATGATTTCTCCCCCCTCCACGCCCTCTTGAACATGTGGTAATGCAATATTGCTCCAAAAATATTTCGAGACGTAACCTTCCCCCTGGAACAAGTATTCAAGACCCCCCTGATGATGAGTTCCTCACCTGTTAAGCGGAACTCACCTGAAGAGTCATTGCTGTGTCGCCAAGTGGCTACCCATCTGGCTGCCAGCAGCGCTTGCGGAAGCGGAGGCTGCTCCACGCAAGGAGGCGCCCACCCTGCGTGACCTGAAAAATCGGAAAAAACTCTAGCAACTCGGGGTAATCGGTCCAGCTGGGCCAACTTCCGAACCCAATGCAAACTAGACTCGGGCAACTCTCTGAGCAAAGCCAATAGGCCCGCGAGAAAAGAAGCAGCTGATTTTCAGACAAGCTGCCCTGTCGCAGCTCCCCTCAGGGAAGCCTCCCGACACTGCATCCACAAAAAGCAAGTGGGCTTCTCTGCAGCGCCTGCATCCCCTCCGCCCTCCGAGCCCTGGCCTTTCCCCGCCGGCCGGGCTTTTCGTTGTCATCCACGCCCGCAGCCAACTTTGAGTACCACTCCTGCCAGGTCTTTGAGCCGGAAATCGGGATCGACAAATGCCTGTGATGAGATGATGTGAGGAGGATAAAGGAAAAACCGGATGACGTGGATCGCCGGTGTAAGACGTGTGAATGCGATGGTACTTTGCCGCTGTATGCTCTTGTCGGGCATACAGCACCACAATTGGTGTAGAAGTGTTCAGTTGCAACGGGATCGGTCTTGATGAGGCGAGAGGCTGGCAGTGAGAGCAAGTTCCGGCAGCTTGCAACTTCCAATCGCAAGGCGAGCAGGGTGAGCCACATGGCGTTGCATCGTGAACGTGCGCACCGGCACAGCAGCTCAATTTTGTCCAAGACATACTCACACCCGGCCTGTGGGGTCTCTTGGTAAGCACAAGTCTAAGTCCCAGTCACAAGTGCGCGGTCGTAAAGGGAGAGTGTGGTGCAGCAACAACGAGGTTTTGCTTCTTTTTTATGCACTTCCCCATTCACAAACTCGGCCAAGGCACCTGTTGGAGCTTGTCCTGGGTGTCCTGCCAGCTTCCTGTTGGAAGATTTCGCCCGTGCCTTAGGCAGGGGGGTCCGCAGAATAGGCACCTTTTTTGTGTGAAATTGCGCCCCTTTCACCCCAACGCTAGCCTGGCCTCAACTGTGAAACAAGAAGTCATATCCACCCTCATACCTTTAGGCTGCACGTTCCTGCAGGTAGCCTAGCCTGCAGGTAAACCATCTTGCAGAGATGTTCCTAGTATTCCTAGTTACCCACGCAAAGCACACGGCAGATGCCAGCACCTTCGATTACTGAAGATCTTTCTGGCCTTGTTTTGCAGGTATCTGCTGAGCGAGCTGCACTGGGACTTTGCAGTGGTTCTTGTTTTCTGCACATGGGATCTGAATCGCTTCGTGGCACAATCATAACACTTTGCCGGTGCGGGTGTGAGTGTGTGTATGTGGCCGAAATTATCTGAAGCTGCAGCGCGGTGCCTGGCATCAGAGTGTAGCGTGTTGCCGGCATCTCAGGCCATGCATCCTTTGACGCATCGGTCGAGATTCGTCCCTGTGACTCCTTTTTCAGGCCCTGTCTGGCTTGACCTGACCTTGGCCCTTCTTAGGGCGCAAGGACCGCAAGGACCGATCTCAAAATCCCTCTCTTCAGGCTCAGGATGCGACAAGGGCCCGGGCCCGGGCATTGGGGTCAAAGAGTTCTTTGGCGATTCCTCGCGGCGTTCGACCTGCCATGGCCCGAAAAACAAGACAAAAGAGCGGCTAGGTTCTGGGTCGGCTGGGCTGTTGACTCCTGAACTACTCCCTTTTTGAGTATTGCAGCTTCGGGAAGGGTCTCTTAGACATGGCGCTTGGGGTACAAGCTTCTGTCCTGCTCCAGCTCGTGTATGCTATGTATCGCAACAAACCCGCCACACAGGACACGGATTCAAGGGCAGGGTAAACGGCACCTCCCGCCAGCGTGTGATGCAAGCTCTAAAAGCCTACTCCGACTGACTCTGGTCGATATGACCGATATCCAACCACAGTCTCCTGCTAACCACGGTCATAGCAGAGGTATGCTGGCGTTGGTTTAAGTGGCTGTGCACAAGAAGGGTCTGGAACACGGTGGGATAAAGCAGCCTATAAGAGTAAAAGCGGCAGCGGGCAGCACGCTACTGTTTCCCAATCACTTGAAACCGGGAACCTCAAATTGGTTGACAGAAGCGCTTGGAGCAGCCTCGCAGGGACAACACTTGCCCATGGGGTGCTTCGACTACAGTGCAGCCTGAATTTGTTGCTTTCGAGTCATCGGCATCACTCTGGAACAGTCTCTGCGTACTGCTTGCATAGCTGCCTCTGGCACCGCCACTGATTCCTCTTGTGCCTCTGCAGGCTCCTTCGCAGAAGCTGCAGGCTGACCTGGCAGAGGTCTGTGAAAACCACTCAGACGCCGGGATGTGACAGCAACGCCACCGAAGGCGTTTCCTTTCCCTTTAACCGGAGAAGGATGCACATTTGCTCAGTTCTGCGCAGGCCGCGCCTAGCGGGTTGGGCGGCGTCATGCTTGGGCGAACCCGCTCCAAGCGCTTCACAGAAGCCTCCACACAGGATGCGAAGCTCGCGGCTAATTACACAGGCATGGCCATCCCAACTGGCAACATGCGGGACGACTAGCCTCCACATCACTTCAGTCCCCCTTGCATCTTCCGAGGCACTCTCCCGTAGGAATGTGGCACTCCAACAAGTTAGAGTGCTGGATCTTGGTCAAGGACGCGTAGTGGACGTGGCCCGAAGCTTGTGGGGCAGGCGGCTTGGTTGAGGACAGTTGGTGCTCGCAGGGTCACTTCTCGGCCTTATTTCGTGTATCAGCGGTGATTTTGATCATTCGGCAAGAATCCGTGCTGTATGGACGGAACGAAAACCTGTTGCTGGAGTTCTTAGTTTGGAAATGGGCACGCTTCGAGAAGTTGTGCCAAACGGAAATCTTTGTTGCGGGTGAAGCCGAGCCGAGAAGCGTCTGTGCAGGCGAGGTGTAATTCAAGAGTGTCAGCGACGAGAGTCTTGGCTGAAAATATCAAGCAAACATGCCAAAAATGGTCATATTTAGTAAACGTGCAAGGTTCTCAAAATTAGTGCAATTCCAAAGCGCAATTCCTTAAGATCAAGAGAACGCTGCTCCTAATCATTATTCTGTAGAATGTAAGCATAATTAATGCTCTTCATGAGCACTAGTCTTAAATGCTGTTCTTTAGGATTTAGGTAAACTCTAATCCTAAACACTATTTAGGATTGAGGGTTTCCAACGTGTTTTGCTTTTGGCATCGCCCCTTCGGCTTTTCGCTTGAAGGTTTAAAGAACTCAGCTCGAGGTTTTTCGTCGTCATCATCAGCATCAGCATCGTCACCATTACCAGCATCATCGTCACATGATCATCAACATCATCAACAGCAGCATCATCAGCATCAACACCATCATCATCAATATCACCATCAACATCAACATCAGCAGCATCTTCATTGCCGTCGTCGTCGTCATAACCAGCAATGGCTCTGCAAACATAACCATCATCGTCATCGTCGACGTCATCATCTCCTCCCCCCACCCTTTTCCCCGAAAACAATAGAAGAATCCTGAGTAAACGTGCCAACAAACCGACCCTTGATCAGCACGAAATCCCCGGCCTGCTCAGAGAAGACTGCGGGGCAACCCAGAAACGCTAAACCGCTAGGAGCTGCTAGGAGCACAAGAAGCTGGGAATGTCAGCACAGGAGCACAGGTTGCCTCCTCCGTCTCCGGCTTCGCCTCCTCCGAGGCGGACGGCGTCCTGCACCGAGACGCTTGGGGTTTAGGCAAAGTCGTGGCAGCCTCCGCGAATGAAGCCTCTATGCCAAAGCTGGCACATGGTGGCACACATACAAGCATGCCGCATGCCAGTCTCGCGTGGAGCCACCGGTATCACTCTCACGCCGTCTCACCCCCTCATTGCCCGCCTCTGCCTCGAAGGGGCACTCGGAGGGGAGGTCTCCTGACTATTCAAGCGTGTCTGATACCTCCCTATGGAAAGCAGGCGCAGCACTTGCAGAGGTCCTCCTCTGCATCTGGCGTCTTGGTGTTTGCTCCTCAAGTCCAAATCCGACCACCATCTTTCCCCGTTAAAGCTTCCACCCAGCTTGTCTCCCCGCAGCGTCAAGCAGTCTCAACGGGATCTTCAAACGAATCTGCGTTGATGTGTTCGTGAAAAGACGCAGCACTGTCATGGAACGTGGCTTCAGTCAACAATGCCGATGCCGAGCAATGCATGCAGACATATGTCTGCAACCCTTATCTTAAAGCTAGTCCGAAATCAACAACATTTGGGTCTCTAGAAAGATGCGCGAGGAAAACATGGCGGCGGACCAGGTGGGCTGCGAGGAAGCGTGGCTTGCAGAGGCAGACGTGGGACCTGGCACGACATCTGCTCGCAGGAGGTCCGTGGCATCTCGTGTCCCACATCAGC